ATTAGCTCTACTGGCTCCTCTACTATTTCTTCGGGGTCGCATGTGGTAAACTGCTTAATGCATCCTCTGTATCATTGTTCAATCAATGGATATAGGTGATTCGATATTTATATGCACTTAATATTAATGCTCAGTGTTGCATTCTTGGTCGAAACATCTGCTCGATTCCCCTTGACACGCTCAGCAAGGATATCAGTGGTTTTGGTCCTGTTTGTGTTTCGAAATAATTGCTCCGAATGTACTGATGAAACCTCATGACACTAAATAGAACTGATAGGGCTTCTTTATCCAGTTGGAAGTAATTCTTTACGGTGGGTTGTAAAGTTCTTGAGGCAAACACAGTGGGGTGACTGACATTGGGCATTTTATGATATAAAACTGCTCCGACTCCGGATAGAGAGGCATCACATTGTAAAATTAAGCGTTTTGCACTATCCCAGCGGGCCAAAAGTGGTGCGAAAACAAGCTACCTATTTGAACAACCAAAAGCAAATTGATGCTCGCTCTTCCACATCCATGGGGTGTTTCTGTGTAGCAATGTGTTCAATGGACTAAGAATGGTTATACCATCCAGTAGAAAACGACGATAGTGCGACAGCTTTCCTAAAATGATCGTAATTCACTATGCTTGGAAGGCGCTGCCTGCAAAATAGGCGCTATTTTATCTTATAGAACACGTAAACCAGTTTTGTTCAGTTTCTAACCGAGGTAAAATACAGAATCGGGTAGGAACACACATTTGAACTTTGTAGTTTTAACCCACCCTCTTCTAGAGACTCGAGGACAGCTCACGATGTGTTTAGGTAGTGGATGTCACTGCGGCCAATAACAAGAATAGTGTATGCGCAGGTTATATATATATATATATATATATATATATATATATATATAACTATTTAGTCTATGATCCTTTGGAAAGTGCTGGGTGCTGAATTTATTCCAAACGGGAGGCGTGTATACTGGAAAAGTCCCAGTTGGGTGGTTATTGTGGTCCAGTTCCTGTGACTCGTCAACAAATTTCACTTGAGCGCGTGTGTGACTGAGATCCAGTTTGGAAAACTTTGGCCGCTGGCTAAAGTCTCGTACAAGTCCTCAATAATTGGAAGTGGATATTTTTCCACTTTCGATGCATGGTTGACTGACAATTTGTTGTCTCCGTAAATGTGGATGGAGCCGTCAGTTTTAAGTACAAGTACAATCGAGCGCCCCAATCTGAATGTTGCTCCGGAAGTATCCTTCTGATTCAGATGTTGAATCTCTGTCTCAAGTTTAGGGCGCATTGCACAGAGTAATGATCCGGCTTTGTAAAACTTGGGCTTTGCACCCGCCCGGCTTTTGAGAGAAGTCTTGAAATGATGCAGTTTCCCCAATTGTTTTTAACCAATGAAGGGAATTAGTTCAATGATCCATTCAAACCACCGTCTTCAACAATGCATGTTGAGTCACATAGTCTCGGGGAAGAACTTTATCTAGTCTCGGCCCATGAGATCCCGTTTGTTCCCCGGCACAACGAGTAAGGGTATGGTGAATTCTCGCTCCCCGTGCCTGGTTTTAACCAAACATCTACCAAAAACCTGAATTGGGTCACCAGTGTACTTCTGTACTCTTCAGTTGCAAGGTTGGAAAAGGTGGTAGCTTTTTCACTGAACCGCGGTTTACTATGGTAACCGTTTCCCAGCATCTAGTTACATGTCTATCGGTTCATCCTTTATCGTCAAACGCGTTGTGTAAGGAGGACAGTTTTGCGTGTCACACTGTTCAAGTATACTGAGTTAAGTTCACTGTTCCAAGTTTCTAGGATCTTATCTTCAAGCAGCACTATCTTGCTTTGACGAGTCGATGAGGCGATGTTCATCGGGCGTGAACTCTCCGCTCTACACACGCGGGCTAGACGGCATATCTTGCCGCATTTCCGACAGACGTTTTCTTCCTACCCGCAATCGGAAAAGCGAGAGTGCTGCAAGCTGCAACGATAACATACGAAATGTTTTCGATGTTCACTGATATCTGGTTTACGGACTGCACGCACATCAGCAACTACCGGACGTTAAGTGAACTCGCATAATTTGTGTGTAATATTCTCTCGCTGGTGAACAATGAGACAAACGTTTTCCCATGTAGCGGCCGACTCATTCAGGGATAATAACTTCCCTCTATCACTTTCGTTCGATATTCCTAAGATTAGATTTGGAATTTTCATTTGCTGTTTAATTTTACCAAGTTGAATTTAATTATACTTACACTCAGATATAGATTGATGAATATGTGCAAGAAAATCATCGGCGCCCTCGTTTGGCTTCTGGACAAGCTCAAAAAGCAGTATTCATGGGGTGTAAACATTCAGTTTCATACCCAATAATAAGGTATAAGTATCTGAAACAGACCTGAGGGTGGTATAGTTTCCAGCTGCGGGACATCGTAGTGCCGCTGAACTTTGTCGTCAAGCACTTGCCTGAATAATCGCCTTTTGCGAGACTCAGAGAAGCAAGCGATAGCATTCAGTATAGAAAGTAATTCCACGTAGTTAGTAAATGGTTTCCTTTAGATTATCTAGTTCGACAAGGTCGGTTTTTCCTCAACAGATGACCAAAGATAGGTGCATTCAACATAGGATTCGTCATTTCCGTCGCCACTATAACATAGTACTACTAAGCATGTAAAGCATAGTTGCGAGACATGTACTCCCAGCAACCACGTATATGGGTTAATTAAGAAAGGTACAAGACTCACGGAAACGCGCGTGGAACATACGATAGAAGCCTGGCGTACTTGGCACAAGCGTGGCGTTTATGCACTTGATGCTTCCCAAGGCACAGCGATCAAACTCGTTTGGGGGTTGTTTCAATTCCTCAGCCAACATAGACTGCAAGCCGTAAGATTGTACATTGGTGAATATTGGCATCAGCAAGGAGATCCCATCATGGCTTCCTTAATACTGACGAACCCGAATAATGTCTGTCGTGACCTGTTGCAACTGTTCCAGTCCAACTTGCTAACCGCCTCTCTTAAGTAGGTAGGGTTGGTACGCCAGAAGTTTCGGTGGTAAACCCTTCGGTCGTGACTGACAAATCGTCGCGTCCATGTAAAGAGGAGAGTACAGTGTTCATTATGATCAATCGGTGGGAGAGTGACCAATCCATAGATGTCAGAAGGTACAGATGAGTTCACTAAATCAAGAATGTGGGATGTCCGGCCTCGGAGTATACTGATGGGCTTAAAGACGTGCTGATATAGGTTGGCATCAAGAACTACTTCAAGAAGACAAGCATCAAATGACTGTGCGGAGAGTCCACAGTGGAGAATATCCGAGTCAATATTAAGCGCATTGAACTCAACAAATATTAGGCAGTCCCTGTCACACCCATAGGTTTTGAGTGAATCCAAGACGCGGTTGCCGTTCCCCAACGGGGTCTTGTACACCATCCCGATGGTAAGGGGTTTGTGTCCGTTGTGGATCAGACACAAGAGCATTTCTGTACCGTCGTCACTAATAGTTTTAATGGTACGCACATTGAGTTCAGATCTCCAGTACAGTGATACACCACCCCCGGTTCTCGCCCCATTGCGATCCGCCCGTGAGAACTGATATCTTGGAATATGTCTCTCTCCATCTGGTATATCCGAGCATATCCATGTCCCTTTACAGGCAAGCAGAGTTGGGCATAACTCCCAATTGGTGCAACGGATTTCTTCCCGTTTGTTCCTGATGCACCGGACGTTGGCAGACATCATCCGCAGTCCAAATGTTGTCCTTGATCTTACGACCCGGGCAGAACTAGGATTCGTCTCCAGCGAGCTCTCCGTATTGTCTCCACCACGCGAAAATCCACGATGTGTAGATTGGTTTTACTGTTAGCTCTTCGGTTTCTCTATTCAGCAGTGGCGATTTTCATTTTGACACGGTCCTATGGACAAAGGTCTCTCGGGACAAAGAAATTATGTCCATGGAGGCGTTAGGTCCGCTTAAGAATACTGCAACATTTAGCTTCATCTTGGCAGATTATTTTAAGTGGACGACTTTTAGAGGTGTCGTCATGCTTTCTACCGAGCCAAAAGGCTGAGTCAGTGTTGATACCTGCTTCTCCAGCATAGAAAAATAGAGAGACCATACGCTCCAAGAAAGCTTTGTCGTCTAGTATTCTTCTTACTGGCGTTGGCTTGTCTGATTCCGAAGCGTTGACGATAATTAGACATCGTTCACAAGCAGGAGACTGCTTCTCTCGGGAACAGCCAGCTTTGTGAGTTGCGGGGTTGTCATGAGCAGGCTCTCCAGCTCGCACATTCTGTCCAGAAGGTGTTTTAGCTGAGGGCGTAAAGAGTCTTTCTGGGTTTGAAGGTTTGTAACCCCCTATATTTTATTCTCGCAGGCGGCTGTGCTTGAGGTGACAGTCGTTGATGTCAAATACTGTTTTACTAAAGAGGCATACGTCATCATCGAAGATATTTTGCACTGTTGTTGCTCGTCAGAGCTGCATAGGTTCTCTTGTTTATTTTTGCCCTACTTGCATCCAGTTGGTTTTTGAAGACGCTACTTTCAGTTAATAGTGTACCCACTGAGGAAGAGGACATTCGACTTCGAATTCATGCTGGACTGCTAAGCCTGACGGGCAACGGTGTTCCTGCCAGCGTAGTGGAGAAGGCGTGGCTTCTTTTCCCTTTGGGCCTAGAGTAACCAAACTCAGGCAGTCACACTGAAGCTTTTTGTCGCTAACCACTGCTAAACGCGGGTCGCAGTGAAAACTTATGCTTTTGAAGACAGTGTGCTAAAGACATTGGTGATGACTATGACCACTGTTACATCACCCTATGTGCGCCCACTTCTCGCGGAGGGCGCACTGGGAGGTGACACCTTTTCCATAATCCACACACTTAGATGTCATGGTGTCCAAAAGGATAATTCGACAGTATACATCAAGCATACATCAAGCAATTATTGTAGACACAGCGTGATTATAACCAGAATTGCTAATGAATGCAAAAACGAAGCTATTTTAACTAACCGTTTGAGGGTGCTCCAAGTATTTGATGCATAGAGTTCCTTCAATTTGCCGACTATATAGACTGTCATCGTAAGTGGGATCGAACATGACGTTGCAACAGATGGATTCTTCAGCGAGTAAAGTTATTTGCTGTGAAAAAAAACCCGAGAGCAACCACAATTTGCTCAAGTCAGCAATTGAATATCCCACCACAAGGCTAATTTTTGAAAATATCTCAAATTAAAATATGACTAGGTAAACGTTTCGCAATAGGTTACAAATCAAGATTGAAAGGACACTCCAAGCAAAAAACAGTACATAACCCAAATTATTTATTTTAGGAAACAGGATAATCCAAGGAATTGATATATATGATCCAGTTCTACTCAGCCATTTCGCATTATGATGGCAGTTCTTTCAAGTGCTTTTATGATGATTGAGTCTAGCTGGATTACACAAATCTTTCGCCCAAGGAAGCTCATTGCGGTTATTTGGGAAACTGGTTGGTCATGAAACAAAAAAGACGCAGAGTAGCCAACTTGATTACGTTGTCGTCAATATACTGTTTGCGCTACTGTAACGCCATCTTCCTAATGAAGGAAACCAATTCCACTTTGTGGGGGCTTCGGCAGTTCCAGTGTTGAATTAGAGTTGACTAGCTCTAATGATATTGGAAGTTCTTACACAGCTTAAGCGACTGAGGGCAAATAAACAATCGGAGGTAAAAATTTTAGCTTTGGGTATGTCTCATCGATGGGGTCAAGTGACTCGATTGCATCCAAGCACTCTAAGCGATTTTCATAACGTGTGAAAACCTGTCATGTGCCTCTTGTCAGACATTTCACGATAAAGTTCAGACCCCATACACCTTAGGTTCTACTAAATGAAACAAGACTGATCCAGAAGGCGTACCAGCTTGGGACAAGGATTTCCATCTTGGACCAAGTAAAATGGATGAGGTGCTTCTATCAGACAGGTGACACCCAAAGCGGAACAATTTCTCAAGGTAACTTGTCTTGTTTGAGGCTCCAACTTGTCAAGGGGGTTCTGTTTGTGAAGATGAAAAGAACGAATCAGTCAACAGGATGAAGAATAGCATGGAAAGAATAACATGAACAATGAACCATGAACAATGATTCCATACGGGTTAAGAAGTACTGCTTTACAAGCCCCTTGAGGTGGTCTGGAAGGTTATCGAAAAACCTGAATGAAAAAGCGCAGTTAGTAGTTACATTGCAAAGTAATGGACTTATCATATTCAACGCAGTATCCCTGCACTGCGAGAATTTTCATATCTTCAATAGACGAAAAATAAAACCAAAGTATTTCCCGGAAGTAGGACGGAAATTAGCGTCAAGTAACAAAATGTAAGTGGCGGAGGGCGTCATCCAACCGACATTTAGATATGGCTAGTGTAGGTTCACAAACAACTGATTAGGGGTGAGCGTTCCATGGTTGACATACTCGAATGGAAAAGAAACTGCTACGGCACTCCAGTTGGTTGTACTGATCTGCTAATTTCAAGGGGTGACCTCTAAGTTTGAGGTTACTGCTCAGTTGCAGTAAAATGCGACAACCATTATTTGGGTTGTGTAAAATCAAGTAAGCAATAATCAAGTCGCCTCGTAAACGGCGATACCGCCCGCTGAATACCCCAAAGGTTTCAGCCTCTGCTCCTACGGAAAGTGGCGCATTTCAATGATGTAGTTGAAAACCAGTTGTTGAGTACGGTCCAATCTAGTATGGTCGTGCTTCAGCCATGACTGCCAGCCTTGAATTGCGTATTTTATATGGGGCCAACATATGCATTAAACATCTATCTGAAAATAGTGGTGTCTATTTGTTTGAACGCCCGTCTTAGCAAGCCGACTTGTTGTTTGCCAGCTTTCGATACTTTTTCGGATTACTTGGAACAACCCAAGTTAGCCTGAACAAGCACGCCAAGATTGCGTTCGATGTATGGTAGCTGCGGTGCATGCTTTCAGAGCATGTAGGAATAGATACTCTGGTGTCGTATGGGGAATACTTTGCAATTGCCCACCTTGAGCTGTAGCAGACTTTGGCTTGACCACTAATATACCATATCCGGGTCACTCTGAAGTGAATGTTGATCGGCATCCGCCTGAATCCGGCGACATATCATGATGTTCCCGACAATCAGTGAGACAGTTGAAGTGATTGGCTGTACAAAGTTAGCAGAAACAATTGTAACTTTAGTACGGAGCCCTGAAGCACACTAAACTCGACTGGTATGGGGGCAGATAAGGAGCCCCGTCTCTGACCACCAATTGTAGTTGTAGGAGAAATTTCGAGATCTATCTCAAGAGAGGGTCACCGATCTCGCAATATAGAAGCTTGGAAAAGAGAATCCGATGACGTAAACGTCCGAATGTCTTCGACAACTCCAAGTAAACCACATTAACGGCCTCTCGAGCATCGGCTTGTTCGAAGAATATGAAAGCTTCACATTCCATTGCGAGCGACCAATGAATTGTTTAAACTAACTTTCCTGTTCTATACTTCTACGCTGGCAAACATGAGATGTTCAGTATAAAGCCCAGAGTAATTCGTGTCACCAAGCAGGTACCTCTTATTACTCAAAAGAAATATTAGCAACTGAATGAGATTAAATAGAGAATCTGGGATCTGTAAATTCTTTTGTGATATGGCTCAGAATTATCAAGGTAGTACTGCGAAAACAGTCTTCATACAGACCAACATTCAGTTGAACTCATTTAAACACCATGATCCGGGCCCCGACGCGTACCTATCCACGCCGCCAGTATAACAATAGTGAACGTTGTGAATAAACTGGGGTACAACGTGAACGAAATAAAAGCAAGGAGTTAGGGGAGAGTTAGCTAACGTTGATCTGGGCAGCTTACCAACAATCAGATAAAGAACACATGCAAGTAAACCAATGATTCGGTGGCTGCGCCACGTCAAATAAGGTTTATAACCATTTATATAGCTCAACTGCAGCTAACTTCCTCATACCGGTTAGCAGCGGACATTTTGTATACATATCGGAAAACGATATAGCGTGAAAGACGGTGCACCCTACAACGTTCCCGACAACAAGTAGATAAATATTCTGCCATTTGTTTTCCCACGTATGCAATGGCAAACCCGACAAAACGCTCTGCATTTTATCTGCAAGTTTCATTTCGTCATTTTGTGGACAAATATTGTCATGATCTCCCACTCCAGTTGCAAAGCGTTTGCTATCTTGTCCTTAGTAAAACATTAGTTCATTACTTCACCCTTCATTCATAAACCCGGTGTATTTAGTATGGTACTTCTCATGAATACAGGGATAATTATATTCCGTAATAATGTCCTACGCAGATCACGATGAAATACTACTTTCGTTTAGGGTGTCCAAACCTTTGAAATCACTGTGGGTGTTCGCCTAACAGTGAGTCATTTTCAACTATTTCCGGGACACACTTTACGTTACCCCGCCAGATATCTGACCAAGGAGTTTCAATTTCAAATATTGTTGGTTGTCTAGTAATACGTCTTCATTGATTGCTGTAGTGGCTCCTAGGGACAGCTGTCAGATTCATCAGTACCAGACGTAGTCATACGTAAGTCTGAAATTTCGTCAACTTTGCAAATTGGCACAGATGTAAATTCAAGAAGGCAACGCAACCGCATCCATGTGCCTACCCTAGTGTTCACGAAAATTCACCTTTCATGGAATGTAATTAGCTCACTTTCAATATACGATAGGACAATTCCTCATGAGAGAACCAAATCTGTGGATTGATGAAGTTCACAGAAACGTCGATTGTGCTGATCAGAGTTTTGGCACCTTTGCGGCCGATGATTGTGTGACAGTAGATACGCTTCGTGGCCAGATGAGGTCTAACGGAGGGGCGAAATAAATAGAAAGTTTAAGTTATGGAGCGGAATGGTGGACAATGAAATTAGATTTAAACAGTCAGATAGCTGTTACAAGCCTGGGAAAGCACCGTACGTCCGTCCCATCACATCATCAATAAATAATTGAGGGTTCGTCGCAGCCAGTTCCAAATCAGATAGTCGTCCACATGCCCGGAAAAGCACTAGACTGCAGCTACAGCCTGTTGGGCATCATCAGTAGTGTGCATTCATCAGGATTCGAGCCCATAACCACCAGTCTCTTGCACCACCAGTCAGCAGCTTATACCACTGAGCCACGGGGGACAGCTTCAGGACCGTCATTGTTTTTCAACTAACTGCGATATAGCGCGTAACTTACATGACAGTGGAGGATAAGACGCGCTATATCGCAGTTAGCTTGCAAACCATGACGGTCCTGAAGCTGTCCTCCGTGTCCCAGTGGCATAGACTGCTGACTGGTGGTGCAAGCCGCTGGTGGTTCATGGGTTCGAGTCCTGACGAATGCGCACTACTGATGATGCCCAACAGGCTGTAACTGCAGTCTAGTGCTTTTCCGGGTATATGGACGACTATCTGATTTGGAACTGGCTGCGACGAACCCTCAAGTATTTATATCAAAATACCATACACATGACTAGTTCCTCAGTAGTTAGCAGTGCGCATGTCATCAAACCCTGGTAGAGCTCGAACCAGCACATTGACTGTTACCAGTCCGTCGTTAAGATCACTGAGTTATGGCAAACGATAATGGCCAACGTGCGTAAGTTATTACATGTGACATAATACTACGCGCCATTCGATGACTTGCACGTCACTGCCTTCTAAGCGACAGGGTAGCTCCCTCACCGAGCAACGGATTTAACCAAACTATCCAACAATTAAAGTAGTACAGGATAAGCAGTTTGGCCTGTGTATAGAACAAACAAGAATATTTGAGACGTTAATTTTATGAATTGACTCAGTGAGATAACGGTCACACGTCCGGGAAGCTCTGTACGATTCAGTAAGATTGAAAATGTTAAGCCCATGCAAAACATCGCGGCTACGTCCTAACCGACTAGATTTCCTAGTACCCGCTTGGTACTGAAGATAGTAAAAAGGTAAAGTTAGCTTCAGAGTAGTTTATTGTACCTAGACCCAATCAGACAGCCATCAACTTCCGATAACTATTTGTTCGGCACTAGTCAGTGCAACGTATTCCCTGTGTTCAATGGGAGACCGAATTCTGTGTGCCAACTTTATCAAGATGAGCATTTTACCGGACGCTTACGCCTGTCTGGATAGGACATAGGCTTGTACACTACTGAAAGGTAAAGAATCAGTGCAGTCTAGTATCCATCACAATTTAACGGTGGTTCCATCCGACGCATATCCAAAGACTGTGAAGCATACGTTCATAGTTAGTTCCGTCAATGACGACGTAACAGTGGAGTGGCGTGACCAACTACCATCACAAATGTTCACAAAGCGCCGCAAGATGCTTGTCATGTTTCCCACTGATTTCCATTATTTTAATGGTACTGCAGAGTAAATATGGAGCACGAAACTTCACACTGATTCCAAATCCTAAGTATACAAGTATCTAGAACTTCCGTTCAGTCCAGTGCAACAAAGGCTGAGATAATCACTAAGTTACAGTTGCATAAGTCACTGCCAATCTACGATTTTCGCGGCCATCTTTTCACTTTATTATCTTTCAACTACTATTGCTCCTCCTCCTCCCCCACCCCGTCTTCCATACTGCAGTGAAGTACACGATAGCGAAAGGGGAGTCTCGTTATATCGTAGCATAAAAAATGACCAAGTCAGTTGATGATTTAACGTTGCCCTTCCTTACCCAATAGGGGAGAAAGTGATTAGAATCCTTTAAGCTTAGTGAGTTATACCCGCTGCTATTGTATCCTAAATGGATAACAGTTGCTTTCTGGATTTATGACAACTATTGACGAGACTGAATGTTATCGTGCTGTGATGGGTTGCATACATACCATACTATGGAGCCTCGTTTGATTGCACTTTCTAAGAGCCATGGGAGCCACTCATATCAAACATGTCAGCGACTAAGGGTCAGACTAACTCAGTCTCACAATCCTCTTAGAAGAGTAGTAGGGGCTTTAAGGTGCTTTGACAGAATTCGTCGCAGCTAGACCAAGGCACTGCACATACAATATAGCGCTAGCTGGTCGTTTTATCCTACGGAGACTCATCAGTAGCGCATAAAGGTAGTTACCGATCAGCAATGGCCACAGCAGCCTACGTGCCACCTCAATTGGTGGCAGCTTGTAAAGGAAGTCGTAGCTCTGGAGTCAAGTCATGTACTCTGCACGTTCGCAGTTTGCATGACAGTGGATGATGAACTGTGCTATATCGCAGTCAGAAACCAGTCATGACAGTCCACAGCCGTCATTTGTGGCTCAGCGACATAAGTCGTTAAATAGTATGAGCATGGTCATAGGTGGATCAGGCAGGACCTGACGGATGCACGCTACTGACAAGCCCAACAGAGAGAAACGGCCGTCGAGCTCTTTCTTAGATGAGTGGAGGTGATCTGGCCAAGTCTAGCAGCAACGAATCCTGTTCGGGGTTAAGAAGAGATGGGTCGCCCTCTTCCCCTAAAATCAAGCCATGAGTGACAACAGGTTTAGCCAGTAAAGGCTTAGCTTGATTGGCGCAGAGTGCGAGTGTCACACACTGCCTCTGACAGTGGGAGAGCACTTCCCGGTGCTCAATGGTTTGTTGCCACCAGCCTCAAGCCAGGCAGCCTCTGGACGAATTGGCACAAACCCGTTAGTTCCCACGTGAGGCTGGCCGCGGTCGCATGTGCGTAGGATACTAGTCCTGAAGGCATGTGTATTGTCCTAAATCCTCAAAATTGGTGCTTGACAGAACTCAAGCGTATCCCAAAGGTAACTGCAACCACCTTACTAAGCTGGATTTACTCCAAACTGCCTTGTGCGTTAGGATAATGATCAAAAGGCAGGGCATCAGCAATGGAATAGCGCGCAGTACCGACGCTTCGCTACCGCGCAACCACCGCCGGTTGCACGTGGGTTAAGAATCCTGCGAGGGTCGCCCGGTCCCCTACACACGCTCGAACACGTGACCACAGGATTACAAGGTAGGCATACGATGCTTAAGGTCTTTGGCCGACTGACACTGAGCACGCTGGGCGGTTTCCTACCACCGATGCGTATAGCGCGTTGCGAGCGCACCTGTCCAGTCGCAGGAGTTGTCCACGATATGGCGGATCAGAAGCGTACGTGCGCTACCAAACAGACTACCTGACGAGTCGTGTGCAAGATGTCAAGCTTGTTTACCATACACATAAATTGGTGACCACGACGCGACAGCATAACCTAAGGCTGGGTCTTCGATATTTCTCTGATGAGCCCGTTCCATCTATTATTTTCATATTTGCCAGTTTACTTTTGTATGCGATAGGATTTTTTGTATCTATTTTCTAACCACGGATACTGCAGACTACAAGATAGTGTCTCCCGTTAATGTTGTAGCTCCCACATGTTCCATCTTTTTGGGGCATGTTTCTCGTTTTGTGGTTCGCTCATTTAGAAGGTGAATTTAATGACTACAGAACCACTACATAATACACTAAGTATAGCGAGGTCGTCATATCTCCCCAAGGAGATAGCTGCTCAGGTTGGTGACGCCATCACCATCGCTAAGAGGACCTCAAGGATGTCACCACTAAAAATAGTATGTCCGTTGAACTAGTCCGCCTTCAAGCGCTTTTCAGGAATATGCAGTTGGGCGACAAAGTGCCCCCAGGCCTGCTACTCGTGATGCAGCAGTTGTTTAGTTCATCTAACGTGGACGAAAAGTTACTTCGCAAACTATTACTACATTTGTCAGTGAAAAACACGCAGACTTCGCGCAACCGTGAGCTCTGCGTCGCTTACCGAGCTAGACAACCTTGCAGATCCAAGCATTGTAGCTTCACAGCCACAAGCCGACGCTAGTGAGATAAAACCATCACACCCAAGGGCGCTTCTCTCACCTGCTTACAGTCAACGATGGAGGCCCTGTAAGCAGGACTTGCGACATTTATTCACCAAGTCCAACAACCCACCATGAGCTGTCGCTGTCTCAGCCGATGGAAATTTTTTCGAGACTCTGCAAGTCTATCAGCAGACAATCTTACTGTTGGTATCCCCGGCGTTTTTCAAATCCGCACGTGTTTCAAGTTTTGCGCCTTCGCAGAAATGCAGGGGAACTTTTCGGCCGGCCCGTAATGGTGACAAACGCGACTGACCAAAAGCAAGTTCCCTATTCATGGTAGGGATTTAACTACTGGTACCGAGTTTTTACTGGACACCGGGGTAGCTAGGACCGCCCAAATAGAGCCTCAGGGCGAATCTGTCACTGGGTTATCTTAGTAGTAGTCGTTCCTTTCACTATCATAGCATAGACTTTTTTAACTGTTCTAACTAATCATAGACGCTAAGTGGCAGAAGCTCTCCCCCGTAGAACTCGGTTCTTCAGGGACAAGCGGTTTATTCCACAAAGCGAGCTCAGCAAAAATGACAGCCTGAAAAGCATGTAGGAACCTCGATATAAATAACTGTCATTGCCATAACTAACGATGCCGCTGCACTCATGAGATTATTCCTTTGAAGCAGTTAAACAAACCTGCTCCAGCGAACCAATCAGCGCGTAGACGAAATATGCGCAGGTGTCCAATCAGTTGCTCCACTTGCTTGCGGCACGCTTGCTGTTTGCTTGCACAATCCTATCACATCCTTCCCTTTGTCGGGATCAGCTGCATCAGTGTTGCGGAAGACTCCGTACACTCTTCTGCTCCGCGTCGTGTTCACTGCCTCCGTCATTGTGACCTCTCCGTTAGGCGTCAAGTGTTTTGCTGCACGTTCTCGTTCGCAGTGTCGCCTAAGCTACATTCGTTTCCTTCTAATTACCTTCCCTCCGGTACTAACTTAACAAGATCTTTCACCAAACTTCGCGGTCAC